GCAGTGAACTTCATTAGGAGGTGACACTGACCCAGGAGAGGGATGAAGGGGCTTCTGTTACCTCTTCTGAGTTGGTGGCTTGAAACGGAGAGGGAAAGGTCAGTGTGCATAACTAGTGACAGGAACATGTGGAGGTGGCTGGGAAATGGTAAGTGGTGTGTGGGCTGAAACCTGGAAGTGTAATAAGGGCAGCTATGGGAGATGGATTTGGGAATCAGGAAGGGTCCTAAGGGTCAGAGACAGGAATTCAGCTGTTTGAGCCTGTGGTTCTCACAGTTTATCTCTTGGATGCTGAGTGCCTTCATGCCTGCAGAAACCATGACTGGGCTCCACTCCACCCACACCCATGAGAAGCTGCTCCAGGTTCCGATAGTGAGATAAGCTGGTGATCTACACCCAGGGCTAAGATCCACCCTGTGCCAGCTTCCCAATCCTTCCTCACTCTGGGATACTCAGGGCTCTCAGTATGTGTTTCTGTGTCCACCCTGCTGGGCTGAGCTGGAAATCTGAGTCTGAGGCCCTAGTAGAAGGGGTATAGGGCCAGTAGAGGGCACGGGGAGCTCCACAGGGGGTGGGCAGTGTTCTTCCGGGGGCCAAGCATCAAGGAGGCACTCATCTCATCAAGGGTCCATCTCTCTCTCCTCCCTGGCATTTGCCAGTCCACCTCATTTTAAAGTTTCTCAAGATGTACTCCACCTCATGTCACTCTCACACATAACTGACAACTTCTACAGCGCCGTCGGTTCAGATGATAATTAAATGCTGTCCTCCTTGGGGGCAGCAGAAGTTCTAGTTGGCTTGGGCACAGTAGCTGTGAGATCTTGGGCAAGCCACATACCCCTTCTTGGGCTCTATAAAGCACACACTCAAGGCATTGCTATTGATTCCTATTGTTGAGAACTCACATGAGCACGGAGATGTGAACGCTGGTTCTCCCAGCCCTTGTTTTATGAACCTGGGAACAGTGGTGTCCAATCCAGGTCCCTCTTCTCCTTCATGGTATATGCCCCTCGCTTTTTATCAAGCATATTTTTTCCCAGTTACCATGTCACGTCAACCCCATCTGGGAGTCAGCAGTTCCCAGGAAGAGGATTAGCACAGAGACCCAAGTTCTCCAGAAGGGTGAGTGTGTTTGAGGCAGGGGAATATTCCTTAGGGATTCAGGATCCTTGGCTATCTACAGAGGATCCCTTGGCCCACACTGATTCAGAGATAGGGTACCCCTCCTGCTGGCCATTGTGTCCTCAGAAGAAAGTTAAATTTTTGTCTAAACTTCCAACTATCCTAGACTTGAGGCTGAAGGTGATGAGCAGGGGTCAAGTTTATCCCATATCTGACTGCTGCTTAGGGAGACCAGAATCCAAGGTCCCCAAAGTACCTTACTTAGCTGGGACTCAGAAGCTGTCCTGGCTCTAACTGGCACCCCCACATCAAGACACTTTCAAACGTATTTTCATTGAATGTGATTGTCAGGCTCACCTGTAGAGCTCGAAACACGAGGTAAGATGCATTCTAAGGCCATGATTCCAAGATGCAGTACATGCCAGGGAGGAGGTGATGTGCTCCATCCCAGCCTTGTCCCCTTGCAACCCAGCCCTCTTTCCCCTGAAGCCAGAGCCACAAGGTCGCGCTGTGGTGCTGATCAGGATTTAGGCTGCTAGAAGGTATTTCTGGGTCTCCTATAACATAAAACATTTTCCCCTTAGTTTTAGAAAGTTCTGCCCCTTTGCATAGGACATATGAATCATTTGAAAGGCTTGTTGAAAGATAGGGTAGGGTAGGCCATTGGTCCGGAGATTCTGCATTTCTAGTGAGCTCTTAAGCGATGGACGCCCATGCTGCTGGGCCTCAGTTTCGGCTGTAAAACAGAGGGAAGGCTCTCTTCCCAATCCTATCCTCTCCTGGCCCTGGCAGAAGTGCTTCCTGAATCCAGAAGATCAAAGGAAGAGTAGACAGAGAATGTAAGGGGGAAAGAGACTTATTCTTGGTTTTACAGATAGTGAAACTAAGACCTACCACTGCCAGAAGGAACCTGATTCAAAATCTCACAAAAATGCAGGGACAAAGTCAAGACTCAGCCCTCCTGTACTGGCGAAAACACGAAAACAAAAACAGAATTCAGAAGTCTTAACTGTGCTCTCTGGCACACTATGGGTTTCTTTGATTTTTTTCCCCTTCTTCTCTCCCTTAGTTTATGGCAGGCTCGGGCTATGTTACGTATGCTGGCCTCTAACTGGAGCTCCTCCCTCGTCAGTCTTCGCTTTTGTATTTTTTAAAACAATGAACACGTCCTGATTTTTTAAGAAAAATAATTTTAATAAAGGAAACATTTCACAGAACTCTTAGTACTGAGATTATGTTTATGAATGTATTTGGTAAACTCTAACCCCGTACAGCAGCTTCATGTCCTCGGTGTGGAGTTCAGCTCAAACTGTCCAAGAGATATTTCAATGAGGCTAATCACCTGACTGAGGAAGGTCACCGCTGCTGCCAAGGACAACCCCCCTGGCTTCTGCTGTCCGGACGCTTTCCCCAAAGCGCTCAAATGGGGAAGAAGGCTCCCTCCCTAATCCGTTTTCGTACTAAAGGACCTTAGGCCAAGTAGGCTTTTGTTGCTGGTTTCCTAAACTTAATTGCAAAGCAACTTTAATTTGAAAGAAAATAAATGTTACAACTCTGGGGCGAATTCTAACGAGCCTTGGGCAATTAGGGAAGAACACATCTAATTACCCACAGCCCGGGGCGCCTGCACACGACGCTGGGGTGCCTGGAGAGGGGCAAGCTACCTTTCCGTGTTCAAAGTGGGAAGAGGAAGAAAAGATAAAAAGCAACGCACCTCTAGTCTCTGAGGCCCCCAGATGAGAAGAGCTTTCCGCCGAGGCGGGGTGGGATATTCTCAAAATCCCAGGGTCCCGCTGGCTGGAGGGTCCCTCGGCGACCTCCGGTGCCTCGTGTCTCGGTCGGGTGGGAGAAGAGGGGCCGCTCTGTCTTCAGCGCCCGATCACCCTTCGCAGGCCTCCCTGTGCACTTCCAGTTCCCTCCACGCCTTGTCCTCTCTCTCCTGGCGCGGACCCTAGTTTTTGACGTAATCTCATCTGTCGCCCAAGCCAACAGGGAGAGTGTTGGACATACACATCCGCCCTTTCACATCCCATCTTTCTTTGGCCCGGGGCTTTGTCGCGACACTCCCAGAGGTTTTGTGACAAGGCTGAGATTTGTTTTTTAAAACCTTAGTTTTCTTGCTCGCCTAAGCCTGCCGGTTTGCAAAGCATTTTTCATTTCTCTTGTTTGACTTAATTTCAGGAAGACCCTCTGAAGTAGCAGCCCCCAAATCCTATATTGAAAATGAGGACCCTAGTGAAGGGACTGGCTTAAGGTTAACCACGGGCGTTGCAAAGCACTCGACTTGGTGATTAGGAAACAGAAAAGGCTTAATTCCTACACTTACTAGGTGCAAACCTGTTCTCTAGCCCCAATCTTGAGGCTGGGGTCTTCCCAGCCAAACACAAAACTTCTGGGCAAAGAACTCTCAGTTTTCCATCCTGCCACCTAGGCAAGGTATCCTGCCCTCTGTATCTAGGGGAGCCAGCATGGCCAGCTGCACAGGTAGAAGCCTTGAATTTCAAGCCTGTAAGGGTCCGAAGGGAGAGAAGCAAGGCCCAATATCTGGACTTTTCCAAGATTACAGGGGTCCATCTGGAGTCTGGACCCACCTACTGCAGGCTCAGTGCTCTAGCTGCCACCTGCCTTGAGGTGGTCATTTATCACTATCGAAGCTAGGAAGGAACAGCACTTAGACCTGGACTGTCGTCAACGGTAGCCACCAGCCACAGTTGCTACTGAGCACTTGGCATGTGGCTAGTCCAAAATTAGATGAACTACAATTGTAAAATATAACCCAGACTTTGAAGACACAGTATGAAAAAGAGGACGCATCTTAACAATTTTTATGTTGATTAAATGCTAAGAAGATATTTTGGGTTAAATATAATATTCTATTAAATTAATCTCACCTGTTTATTAATGTGGCTACTAGAAAAATTTGAATTACATATGTGGCTTGCACTGTATTTCTATTGGGTGGCATTAATTTAGACAAATTCCCATTTGGGCTGAACCAAGTTTATGTCTTTGTGAAAAGGATAGTGCAGTCCCCAAAATAAAACATCAAAATTACCAATGATTTTCATACACTTTTTTCACAGCCCTACGCTTTCCCACTGAGATACTATGCAGAAAGAGGCCCAGTTTTCTCTTGCCAGAACGCATTTGTTCAATTTTTCTTTTCTTTCTTTTCTTTTTGCACCAGCGATTGAACTCAGGGCCTTGACCATGCTAGAAAGCACTCTACCCCTGGGTTACACCTCTCATCGCTGTAGCAACAGCAGTGATTTTTATTTAGTTCACCTGAATACTCAGATTTATCTGAAAAACTGTGACTAGAGTCTCTGAAATATTTAACACTGGAAAATTTCACTCTAGAATTGAAAAAAAAGATTTCTCAAGAGACAGGCCAGAGACATTTCTGATTTTGGTGAGCCTGCTGCTTAAACAAACATACAAAATGAAATCAAAATTCCAGTCTCTCTCTAAAACACTCTTTCCTGGTTACCAAATTTAGTTCTTTCCTTTTCTGAGTGGGGAGGTTGTTAAGGTGTAGCAGAGTGCCATGATGGAAGAGCTAACCCCAACTACCAAAAGCCCTTGCCCACAGGCTCCCTGGAATTCTTTCTTCTTGAACTTTAGTTCACCTGTTGGGTCCAGGATTGCTTGATGAAAAAGAAGTGTTGGACAAAGGATGAATGTGTTTTTATCTGCCTCACCAGACAACCAGATTTATGATGGGGCAGTAATAGCTGTGGAATGACCAGCACATCCTGTTCAAAAGATTCAATAAATTGTGCTATAATTGCTGCTTGGAGCTAATCCTAGGACTTTAGGTTAGATGCTTGCCATGATCTGTTCCAATTCCCTGAATGGTGGTTAGGCTCTGGGTGGCTACTCGGAAGCCCTCGGTGGCCCACAGATACTGCCAAATATACCGGGTAGCATCCAAGATGATGGGGCCCCTAAGTATTATAAGGTTGTGGGTAGAATCGTGAAGTCCTCTTGTATACCACTTAGAGAGGCTAAAGGTTTTGGTGTGGGACTGGGTCAGCTAGGGAGTTGAGGCACGGTTCGGACTGCGACCTAGGCCTACAATTCTCAGCGGCGGCCCAGGCCCACGGGAGCGAAATTCTCTTATAAAAGAAGAAAAGGAACTATTTTTTTTCATTCAATTGTGCCCCCTGCACTTTAAGAAGAAAGGCGCCGTCGCAGCCCTTTATTATAGTAACACAGTCGAAGGTACAAGGGGACAAACCAGTTAAAAAGGACCAATTTTAAGCAGCTGAGGAAAGGGTGAAGCTATGTGATCCCCATAATTCGGATCCAGAATTCTGGTGTGGACACCACATTCGCCCCATCCCCCGTGTCACCAAGGACCTTTCCTGGAAAATGCCAGAAAGGCATGTCCTGTGGGGCTTCGCCAACCTCGGGTCCCTTGTGCCAGTCGGAATGCGGTGGCAGCCTCTCCCCACCTCACATTTATAAAGCAAACCGGGTGTATGGAAGGTGCGCCAGGAGACTCGGGTCTGTTCAATAAGTCCCAACTTCGTCCTCTCTCTAGCTCTGCCTTCAAGCGTGAGTAAATTTAGTTCGCGTGGACAGCGTTCGTCCGTACTCTCGGCTCACATGGCAGGCACGAACCGATCCACCCCTCCTGGATAGGCGGTGGCATGGCGGGCATGGTAGGCGCCTCCACTGCTCCCTCCGAGCTGCCCGCCAGGATTGTAGCAGGGCCCCAGAGCTCCGAACTGGCCGGGTGAAGAACGCCCGTAGAAGTCCACGGCGGCCTCCACGCCACCACTGCTGCCACCCGCGGGGGGCGAAGCAGGTCCCGTCAGGCGGCCCGCCGCGGCGAAGAGAGCGCTGCCCACACCCTGAGGGTACGCGCCGTCGGGGCCCGCGTAGGCGGCCGCGTAGGCCGAGGGGTTTGCGGGCCGCGCCCCGGAGCAGCCGGCCGGCTGGTAGGCGGTGGTAGTGGTGGAGGCGCTAGCCGAGGCAAAGGCGCAGGAGCCACTGGGCCCTGGCGGTGCGGGTCCCAGCTCTGGGCTGAGGGGCCGCTCGGGAACCAGGCCGAAGACGCGGCAAGGGCCCGGCGACGCGGCGGGGTAATAGACCGGCGGTGGTGCGGCGAGCGATGGTGGCGCGTAGCCCGCGTAGACGGCCCCCGGGTAGGGCGCGCGGGCGGCGGACACCGCTCCGGGAAAGATGGCAGCGGCTGCAGCGGCAGCGGCGGCGGCGGCGGCGGCCGCCGCGTCGTGCATGTAGGCCGGGTACGTGGAGAGGTCCGAGCGCTTGAAGCGCTTGCGGCGGCGCAGGAAGCTGCCGCTCTCGAACATGTCCTCGGCGTTGGGGTCGAGCGCCCAGTAGTTGCCCTTGCCCGGACGTCCGGCCTCGCGCGGAATCTTGAGGAAACAGTCGTTGAGAGTGAGGTTGTGGCGGATGCTGTTCTGCCACTTCTTGGGGTTGTCGCGATAGAAGGGGAAGCGCTCGGTGATGAATTTGTAGATGCCGCCCAGCGTGAGGCGGCGTTCGGGCGCGTGCGCGATGGCCATGGCGATGAGCGCGATGTAGCTGTAGGGCGGCTTCCCGCGCTGCAGGGGGCGCTTGCGCCGTCGCCCGCCAGAGCCGCGGACCCCGGCCTCTGCCGAGACCACCGGCCCCGCTGCCGCAGTCTCGCCACGTTCCTCCTTCACTGCAGCCAGCGCCTCGGGCTGCGGGGGCGGCGGCGGCGGCCCGCTTTCGGCCGTCATGGCTCAGCAGTCCCACGAGCCCCTGCGTCTACGCCGCCTGCCACCCCCAAGGGCCGGGTCGTGGCGAGTGTGGGAGCTGCAGGCCAGCGACGTGGGCTCCCTGGACCGACGTCTGGGCCCGCGGCGGAGAGCTCTGGGAGACCTCGCGGTGTGGCCCCAAGCGCACTGCTGCTTGGGCCGGAGCGCTCGGCGGCTCGGCGCCCTTCGGGCTGGCACGGTGGGCACAGGGTCTCGGCCGTGTCCGCCCACCGACGGCCTAACTCGTGTTCTGGAGCTCGAGGCCGGGCGGCGACGGTGGCGCTGGGATCGGGACAAGGCTCCCGTTGTTGGCCGAAGGGCTGCAGTAGCGCTGGCGCCCGGCGGCCGAGGGGTCCAGAGTGCTGCCGGCGTCCGGGCGGCCGCAGCTGGTGTGCGTGCGCTCTAGACCGAGGGCAGCCCGTCGAGGACGTGAGCGAAGAGGAGGCTGCAGGCCAGGGGGCGGTTAGTGCTGGAGCGGGGCGCTGTGGCAGGGGGTGCCCATGCCGCGCCCCTGCGGCTGAAGCAGCGGGCCTAGCCGAGGGCGGAGGTGAGGCCAGGCGGCAAAGTCGAGGCGCGGGCCGGGCGGGGCAGCCGGTGACTGCGCCCCTCAGCGGCGTGGGACTCCAGCTTCAGAAACTGCTGGCGAGGCAGGAGCTCCAGCGCACACACACCGGGACCAGCTCCTCCCTCCACCAGCTTCTCCTCCTTAAAGGCGCCAGGAAGCGTGGGGCGGCGCCGGTTCCCCGCCCGCCCCCCGACTCCCCGCCCCCGCCCTCCGCCCCAACCTTGGGCGCACCTCCCCAGGTAGGAGCTGCGGTGGTGGCGCAGCGGGAGCCCCGCCAACGTCCGAGCAGGGTGGGCGCTTGGAGATGCTGGGGAGCGGCCCCCTTTGCCAGCCAACGGGAAGACTGAGGACAGGGCAGTCCAGGGACCAGCTTGAGAGATCTCGGGTGGAATTTTGGATTTTTCTCTCAGCCTCTGCTGAGGGCTGGGACTCACAGGTGAAAGGAAGGGGTCACCTCTTCTATCCCAAGAGAGAATTGGCCCTTGGCGGGGCGCTTTGTTATTGCGGGGTGGAGGACAGCAAGGGAGAAGTTCTGAGCAACTGCCTCCTGAGGCCTTTCAGGGTATTTCCAAACCCGAGTCACGGCTTCTCTACCCGTTCCCCACTCTAGTCCCATCTTTCTTCCAGAATAAAGGGAAGATGGCTTGTCCCCGTCCCACGGCGCCTCGACACCGTCGCTTAGAGGATTCTCCAGCCTGTCTGTCTTTTTGGGGGGGGGGGGTTAACCGGGGATCAAACTCAGGACCCCGAGCTTGTGAGGCAGGTGGGCGGCACCACTGAGCTAAATCCTCCTGTGTCTCTTTTAGGACTGCACTTCCCAGCTATGTATGAGAGATAACCATTTTCCCTTTTGGGGTCCCAGTTCCTGGACAGTTCCAAGGGGTTGGCTCTCAAGAGGCCATTCGTAGCCAGTAGTTAGGGAAAGCCCTTCCACCCCATCATCGGAACTCTCTCAATATGATGGAGAGTGGCACACGGTTTAAAGATGATGGAAGCTAGGCTCCAACCCTCTTGCTGTCGCCTCCTCCTCCAGCCCTCCAACTCCCGGTGGGCTTCAGGTAGCTCTCAAACCTCTCCCACGCCTTCACCCCATAACGGGCAAGCAGCCCCTTCCTGAGTGGAGGCCCGCGAGTGGGGGTGGCTCCTGAGGGTAGCCGCGTCTCCCAGACGTGGGGCGGGCAGACCCTACCCTTTTGCTTTGCGGGTGTCCCGTTGTCCCCAAAGGCAGGATTCGGTGCTAGCCGGGATTTCCCGGGGCACAGTTCCACTGGCCTGGGTTCGCTCTGTGATCATTCTTGGGCCGGTTCCTTACCCCTCGCTGGGCTTCCGGACGGATCTCTGGGGTCTCCGAGGCTGCTTCTACCTTTAGGGTTCCGGGCCTTGAAGACGGCTCCGGAGACTCCAGACAGCCAGAGCTTTGGAGGGAGGCTGTGGGTGCAGGGCCGAGTGGAGGGTGCTTTGGGAGCTCGGGGTATCCCAAGCGGAGGGTTCTGGCCTGAAATGGGTGGCATCGCCTTCTGAAGGTTTAGCCCCGTTTTTTTCAGAGAGCTAGGGCAGGCTCAGTCCCACCAGGTTGGGCTGCTGCCATCGGAAGAAAGAGGTGAAGAGCAAAGATCCTCGTTCCGCGGAGCAGACCTAGCGTTTGCTGTTTGCTTGACAATCTTCCCCGGCGGAGGTGCTGGAATGAACGAGTGGAGATGGACTTTACATCGCGGCACAAAACCCCTGACTGTCTTATGAAGTAAGGAAGAAGTGAAAATCTAGGTTTCCTCCTGTCTCATTTTTTCAAAGGAGAAATATTTTTTTAAAAAAACTTGTAACTGAATTATACCATCGGGAACTTTTAATACAGATTCTTTGGTTCTCTGTATTTCCACGATTCTGATTTTAAATTCTGGACCATTATATTAACATGATCAAAGAAGGTGATTCTATAACGTTTTTTGACTGTAGTTATATTCCTGTGGCTTTTAAACTGATTGAGGTCTGAAAGTCCATTGGTTATATATTAAGATGCTAGGGCTAGGGTTTTGTACCTGAAACTTTGATGCCAGGACTTGGAGCTACTTCTTTAGTTTTAGATTTTTTTTCTTTTAGCTTTAAGGTATATGTTATTTAATTTGAATTCCTGGTTAGGAATGTCTCATTGCAAGATTTGGGTTCTATAAATCTACAGCACTCTTCCTTAATTCCAAGATGTGAGTACTGGATCCACTATTTTGTGGCTCAGGTAGTCTTATTCTGGTAATTCTTCAATATTCGTTGTGATATGCTTTAATGATTGCTCTATGGCTTTGTGATTCTCTGCTTTTGCTCTCCAGTGACTGTGGCTAAAAACCTCCATGTCTCAGAATTTTCAGATCCGCAGTGTCTCCTGTCTGTGGCCTCACTAGAATTCTGATTCTTTGGTTGGGAAGTTCTTTTTTTTTTTTTTTTTAGTACCGGGGATTGATCTTGTGCTTTCAAGGCAGGCAGCAGCACCCCTGAGCTAAATCCCCCAGCCCTCTGATTCCTCTCTTAAACTTTGTTACTACCCAGCTATTCCTCTGCTCCAGACCAAGGCTTATCCTCTTGAGATGAGAATTTGCAAGATCATGATTCTAAGATTTTCATGAACAAAAGACCCCTAAAATTCTATCCTATAAATGTTTTATTCAAATAATATATTTATAAATTCTGTAGTTTGATAAGTCTGTGACTACACAGTGTAAAATTTAGATTAAATGATTTGATACATACAAAAGCCACAAGTTTACCCGTTTGGATCAAAAACCATTCATAAAAATCCACTCAATGTGAGGACGACTCTCCACTTTTCCTTTGCTTCCCTCTCAGTTTCTTGAGTAAAGGTGGAATGACCATAGCCACCTCCTTCTCTCTTAATGTGTTGGGGGTCAAATAATTGAGAATCAGTTGAAAACTAGGGGTGGTGATTTTAGCCCCTGGAAATTATTCTCCCAGTCCAGCAGAGTTAGGTTTTCATGGCTGTGGGCAGGCGAAGCGATTTCCATCTGCTTCCCTCTGGTATTCCTAGCAGGCATAAGCCTGCCCCATTCACAGGCCTTTTAAATGTGTATTTGCACATGTGTGTGTGTTGGGGAAGTTACTGGGGCTCTGTAGAAGATGCTGGAAACTCTTCTGTAACAACTACTTTTTCTGGTTTGAAGCAGGAGAGCTGGTAAATAAAGACAAGGGGGATCCCAAAGAGTCATGGAAAATTCCTCCACTGTCCTTGACCCAGAGGTCCCTGCGTGCAGATACAGAGTCAAGGGGCTCTTCTACTTAAGGAAATCTTAGAAATTAGAGCTGAAAGGAGACAGGGCGGTCACAGAAAGCACTTGCTTCAAGTTTTGCAGAGGGCTGAGGCTGTAGCCTAGCATTACAGAACGCCCCAGGATCCAACCCTAGTACTGTAATACATGCATAAAAGAAAAGAAAAAGTCTTGCTAGGGGGAAGGAAGTGGGCTGAGAGGGAAACAGGTTTTCTGGCTCTTAGGCCTGGCCTCCTGGATCTTCATATTTTCCTGAACTCTCAGAGCCTCACTTATGTGTAGTTCTTTAACTTGGGCCACTCTCCTTACCCAGAAACAACAGAATCTCTGAGTTGGGACACTTTTTTTGGGGGGGGCACTTTTGAACTTGCTCCAGAATCTCCTTACAGCAGCAACCCAGGGATCTCTGTCTGGGTCGCTGGGCTCTGTGGTCCCAGGGGTCATCAGAGCAAGACACTGCTTCAAAGAGGACCATTTCACATGCAGTCCTGTGGACCACTGCGGACCTCTGTACACAGCACCTCTGCATTGCTTTGGAGGGCCTCAACCCCAGATGGCTCATTAAGGGCCCAGCAGCTTTGAGCCATCCTGGGCCCCTCTTAGACCTCAGTGTCCTCTTCTGTGAAGTGGTGAACTACTTGCCCCCTCTGTTCCAGAGGATGGAGTGAGGCGCATTATCAACTGGGGATTGTTTTCTTAGTCTTTTAAATTGTTTTCAGGACAAAACGTGAGCATGGAAAAAAGACAAACCGCTGGGGAAAATTCAGGACTGTCTCACGTACGGACCAAGATGAGAGATGAGATGTCCTACTGAAGAAATAGTGGTTGATAAAATATTTTCTTGTGGCCTAGCAGGAATTTTGAGTCCCCAGCTGGCATGGACTCTTGTCTCTCTAGGTGGTGCAACCTCGGAGCTTCTCAGAAGGCAACCGAACTTCAACGTGCTTTCTCACGGCAGATTCACTTACACATTGCAAGCAGAATTATCATCTCCCTGGTACGGGACACAGGAGCTGGGGGGCCCAGAGAGGAGCCCCTGCTTTCCAGTGTGGATGGTTTGCTTAGACCTCGCCAGAAGCCTCCCTCCCCTATTTACCCTGCCTTCCCAACTTGTGTGGCAGCGGAGCCCTCTTCCTGCAGGTCCGGTGCACCGCACCGGGACTTCGGAACACTGGAGCCCGTGGGGACGCCCGGGAGCTTCGCAGCGGTGTAGAGAGGGGGAAGCCGGCTGCACACCGACTTGGTTAGCTCTCCGCCCATTGCCCTCTTTGAGACTCCAATCCCAGGGCAAGGAACTCAAGGCATCAAAGGCTTCTTTCTGGTCCCACCAGCCTGGGTGCCGGCAGCTTGAAGGGTCGGGTGTAGCGGTAGACCTGCTGGGAAAGCTGTGGCCTCGGGCAGAGGTGAGGTGAGGGCGAGAATAGAATCCCGACTTTTTTTTTTTTTTTTTTTAACCCCGGAGGCTTTAAGTCCTGAGTGCAGGATCGACCCTCAGGAAACGTGGGGCCTCCGAGTTTCTACAGCTGGCACCGCTCTCTGTGCACGACTCCGGGACTCCGGGAAGCCCAGAAGAAGCCCACACAGAAGATTGCGGGTGTTCATTTCGAGGCAGAGTCCCTGGTTTTCAAGGCAATCGCAAAAGGGCTAGCGACTATTCTCCTTCCCCTTTAAAAAAGGAGTTGGCCTAAATTGGCGTCTGGTTCAACCACCAGAGGCCCAGGAAAAGGTGGTAATGTGAGCCCCCTCCCCAGGCTAGCCCTGGATCACTGTCGCCTCCACCCGCCCAGCGCACTCACAGCCAGAGCAGCTCGCCTCGCAGCTCAGCTTAGTCCAGGCGTCTGAGGAGTGACCGTCATCCGGCTGCCTTGGTGCGCGCGGAGGACGGAAACGCGGCTGGCTGGCTGGTGGCTGACTAAGGCAAGAGGCAGACGGTGGCGTGGGAAGCCCGCACAAACGCGAGGGCTGCTCCACTCTCTGCGGGTTTATCGAGTGGTTTTTGTTTTTGTTTTTTATTGCCTCTTTCTGTCAGGAATCCTGGAAGTGCTTTGTCTGTCTCTGTCAGTCTTTAGCTTCTGGTAGGAATATGCATGCGCGTGTCCTCCCTGTTTTGGTTATCTCTCTGGACTAAAGATCGGGAAGGGAGGGGCTGGCTGAACATTCCAGCCAATTAGGGCGCCCAGAAAAGGCCCTTCCATTCCGGAGAAGAGTGCAGAGTGGCAAGGGCAAGACAGATGGACATCCATCCCGGGCGCTGGAGCTGAGCAAGTGGGAGTCTTGATGCCCTGCCTGGGTCTCTGTGGGCTCTGCATAACTGACCTGGGAAGGAGAAGGACGCAGGGTTACCCAGTACACTTTCTCCTCATGGCTAAGGCTCCAAATAGACCTCACCAGCTGGCACCCTGTCTCTGCCCAAGGAGACCTTCAATATTTCCCATCAGCAACCAGCAAGATCAAGTGGACTTTCCTGGGCCTGGCATTCAGGGCCCTTCTTACACAATTCTGGTCCTTGCCACCCCTCCTCTCTCTTTTGGTCTTGCCTTCCTTAGTATCTGAAGACACCTGGACATCTGAGGACTTCAGAGAAGTACAGAGACAGTCATATCACCAACTAACTACCTCACAAAATGTATGACAACAGCTAAAATCCAAACCAGCTGGGACAGGCCGAAAGAGGGAGTGCTTGAGGTGGATCAGGGAGGACTCCCTGAAAGAGGCATGTGAGGGTGGGAGGGGGAATGCAGGGAGAATTCCAGACTGAGGGTGGGAAATGTGGCTTCATGTCCCTGGCACCCAGGTCACCAGGATAAGGTGACTCTCCTGTGAAATCCTGCTACTCAGACTCACTCAGTCTTGGGTCAGTGCCTTTCTTTGCCTCTTCCTGGCTGTGCAACATTGATCCAGTCATTTATCCACTCTGAGCCTCAATTTTTCAATCTCTAAAATGGGGAATACTAATGTTTTAAGGGAGTTGAAGGCTAATGATATTAACTTACACATACATAGTGCTTTATTGTAACTGTTTTACTCACTTTACATAATTAAATATACAATGTGATAAATAGGCTGAATATTTAAATTTTAAAAGACACATTGCTATTAATCCTCCCCCAAATGCCCTCTCTCTCACTTCAAACACATCTTATTTTTCTTGCCATTTTGTGAAGCACTTCTAAAAGTCCTCTTTCATGAGTATGTTTAGTTGCGCTGCCGTGGCTTTCTCGTTGGCCTAAGTCAATTCAAAACATTTACCTTTCATGGTCATTTTGACTTTGAGGAAGAGCCAGAAGTTTCATGGTGCCAGACCCAGTAAATAAGGTAGATGAGCACACACTGTAATGTTTTTATAAGCTTGGTTTTCTGTTGGATGGCCCTTGACAGCAGCACTCACTATATTTTTGATCTCACCTCATAAAGACACTTATGAAAGAGGACTTGCAGAGCTGCTTCAGGAAGTGTCAAGAATGATGGGATGAATGTATTCAAAGTGAGGGGGAGTATGTTGAGAGTTTTCATGGGAATGTGTCTTTCACTATAATAAATTATCTTTAAACACATCATATGTTTTATTTAAACACATTGCTGATCAACCCTGGTCACTAATGTAAAGGAGACCTGGGACAAGTCTCAGGCCTGTCACTGGGCATTAAGGGTTCATCCAGGAGAAGCTGCAAAGCACTAGATCTAGAAGGTAACTGGAAAGAGGCCACCTGGGTGGGTGGGCAGCTGTAAAAGAGCCCAGATATGAATGAACATGAAGGAAGATTCAGCCTCAAAACAGAATCTTCTACCCTAGGCTTAGGAGTGTGTGTGTGTGTGTCTGGGGTGCTGGAATGATCCTGGCTCCTAGAGATAAGAAGTTGTGTTAGAGAAGCAGTTTGGATAACTTGGTCCTGCTGGGCTGGGGTCTGAGAGCCTCACATGGGCAGCCTCATTGCCGAGTGTCCTGGAAACTTAAGGACTTGGATCTGCATGCAGCCACAGCCTCTGCCTGGGCAGATCTGGCCCAGCCTTTTGGCAGGAGGGTGAGGGAAACTTCAGGACTGAGCTGGGCCCCAGCCTCTGTAGGTTCAGGGGCATAGTCCTCAGTCTTGAAGCTGTCCACATGTTCACCATACTCATCAGCCCACAGGGGCGTGCTCCAGGGAACCATGGGGCTGGTTGGGGAAACTGGCTTTACCCTCCTTTTGTGGATTTGGACATAAATCAGGAGAGAGAACAGGTGAGAAGCTGCTGGCTATTGGGGTCCTTTTAGGAGGCCCCTTTAGGGAGGTATGTGTGGCTCCCGCCTTCCCCAATCCCTTGCCAGGCTAAATTGTCCTGCTGGTGGGACAGTGGCACTGTAACCTGGCTATGGGTCAGTGGAATAACACAGTGGTAAAGCCTTGGGTGTATGCAAAAGTTGTGAGGATGGAAAGAAGTGAGAGGGAGGAGAGGAAGAAGCTCTCTTGAAATGGCTAGAAGGTAGGTGTGACAAAGTTTGGGAGATGCTGTCAGCTACCATGTAGAAGTCAGTGTCCTAATAGGCTGAGCTGTCCCTAAGAAGCCTATATAACCAAAGTAGGGGCCAAAAAATTAGTTATTGAAGGAATCACATTAATGTGTCCCAAAAGCCTCTGCAGGCTTCTGTCACTTCCGATTTCAAAGTTCTAACCCTCACCTAGTCTTTCCAATATATTCTTGTATTTGATTTGTGGTACAGCCTCATCTTCTGGGCAGTTGCTAGCCAGGGAGGATTGACAGCAGCTTTACCCAGTGAGTGGGCAGGACTGTCTAAGCTTAGGTAAGCAGCTCCACCTCTTTCTCCAGATTCACTTTGCTGACCTACCTCCTAGTACTCCTCCCTCGGGAGCTGGGTTTCTAGAATTTGTCATTCATGGTACTGAAACAGCCTAAATAGATGAACAGAAATGGAGGGCTTTCACCAAGGGAGAAAAGGCAGTGTGCTTCACACCACACCCTGACCATGCTCAGCATTTTATCAGTGACTTAGAAGAAGGCGCAAAAGGTAAGTTGACTGGCTTGTAGCTGTTCATACTGAGGCATTCGTGTTGGTAACCAACAGACCTAAGGCTTGAAATAATCCCTAGGTTAGGAGGCTGAGTCCAAACCAACAAGAAGTCATTTTCAAAACTGTTATGAAAACATTGTAACTTCATAAGAGACAAACCAAGAAAAAAAGTTGCTCATATGCCAGTTACCTGTCATTCATCCACTAAGATTTTCTGTTCTGTGCTTTTTCCTCTCTTGTGTTCTTATGCATACACAGAAAGTGTGTATTTACATAAGTGTAACCATGATGTATGTACAATTCTGTGGTCTTTATACATTCCATTTGCATTATTTTGTAAACATAACCACATGTTGCTCCTCACTTCTTTTTAACCTATAATTGTGAGTGAAATTGTCTAGTGGTTTTTTTGTTTGTTTGTTTGTTTGTTTTTGAGACAGGGTCTTGCTATGTACTTCAGGCTGGCCTTAAACTCACCATATAGCCTCGCACTCAACAGCAATCTTCCTGTTTCAGCCTCCTGAGTGCTGCAATTACAGGCATGTGTCTAGTGTTGATCTAACCTTTTCATTGTAGCTGAGCAATTGGGTAATTTCCAATGTCTTTGATATAAGTGGTGCTTCCAGGAATGTGTTGTATAAAGAGCTTTTTATTTCTTTTGAAATATTATTAAGACAAATTTCTAAGCACAAGATTTATGGAGCCACAAACATTTTATGATTCCTAATAAAGTGTTACCACTGTCTGCAATTATATCTTGCAACTCATCATGATCAAGTTAGTTAACATATGGGCCGGGGGGTAGCTCAGTGGTGCCACCACCTTCCTCACAAGCACAAGGTCCTGAGTTTGATCCCTGGTATCAAAAACAACAACAAAAAAAGATAGTTAATATATGTAACCTTTAGTAGTCTTTTCATGCCCCTTTGTGATCCAGTCATTATATATGATAGTAAGCAATCATTAATCTA